TGAAGAGGACTGTCAAAATGATTCAGCATCTGCAGCTTTGCTGCTCCAACCTGCATCCTCAGTCATGGTGGTGAAGTATTGGGAGTAGGGTGAGGAGTTGTTTGTTTTTCTTTTGAAGAATGCTAGTGGTAGGGAATGAACAGAGTGGTTTAATGGGCTGCAAATTTGCCGTCCGAGTTTGATGGGGTTATATGGTGCTAGGGCTGTGTACATCTTTGAACAGTATACTGAGACTGTACACACACTGGAAACTAATCCTTGCTGTTTTTAGTGCAGCGTGGCATTCTGAATAGATATTTTCATTAACAAATGACCCTTGGATTAGATTTTAATAAATATATAGTGAGGCTTTCATTAAAGAAACAGATTGTCTTTGTCTTTGTCTTTGTCTTTTTAGTAGATGTGCAGTAATGACACTGTGGTAACATTCATAAGATTGCAACAGTGAAAATCACTTACTGTTATTGTAGATGTCACGAACATGTAATTTTTGAAGTAACTTTTTTTATCTAATCTCTCAATCTGTAAATTCCGTTGTTTAAGCCAGACGTGATGCAGTTCATCTAAGTGAGCATAGGAAGTTTTTAATACAGATATACATATTCCTTTCTAGGTGTAGTCTACCATGAATGACACTGGCATAGTTTAAGGATGACATTTGGGAGAAATTTGAAGTCTTGCATTCAATATTTGATTGCTTAAGACAATAGTCAATTAATACCACTGAGCTGTACAGACAATGTAGTAATGTACTAGTTACAATTAAACTGGGATTGTGCTTTCTTCAGACCACAGAAGAACAGAATGTCCAGTTAGAGGATAAGGAGGTATTGCAATGTAAACCACAAGGCAAATCCCTAATAGTACAGGTCTGAGTTATAGGGGGGAAAAAAAACTGATAGCATTTTGACATTTTAGTCTTGGTTGTGGTGGGTGGGGGAGGATGAGAGAATCTTTGAAACAATCTTAATTTATAACCTTAATTCAAATTAAGGGTCTGTTTCCAATTTTGTGCTCCTGTCAGGTAACAGCACGTGAGTTACGTTTCTACCCATTCACTTATATTATATTTAGTATTGTATCTTTATCTGGTGACATTATACTTTCCACTGTGTTTACTTGTTAAATACAAGTAACAAGAAATCATTCAATTAATTTATAGATGGATGCAATTTCCATGCTGTACATCTGACTGTACTAGTGCAGTGTCTCTTCTACTTCTGCAAAAGTTTTGCTTTGGCAAAAGTGAAGAATGTGGCTTCAAACTAGCAAAGGGACAGTACAAGACTTAAATCAGTGACCAATATATGGAATGAATTGTGGCTGAAGTAGTAGAGGTGAAAATGCTGCAAGTGAGAAATAATGCAGGTATTTTTAGGATATTTCTAGTCTGAGGAACTAAATTGAGCTAAATGGCCTCCCTCTTGGTAATTACCTTTTTTTGAGTTTTATTCTTACAATTGAAAATAACTTTGAGTATCTTGTTGATATTTATGATTTCAGGCCTGCAGAGGAGACAAACATGATGAGCCAGTAATGCCCAAGGATGAAGTAGATGCAAAACAGCCTGTAGTGAATGAAGTGGCTGTTGATGCAGGAACCATGCCTACACTACCTGCTGGTGCAGATTTCATTATGTGCTATTCAGTAGCTGAAGGTAATGTAGTATAGCAGTGTTGGCAAAATTCAGTTAGCACAAAACACATGATTTCTCACTTATTCAACCCCTACAAATTAGTTGGAATTTGTCTCCCCATAAGATGAACAAAAACTGCTCCTGGTTTCCCTTTCAAGAATATTAAACTGTATTGAGTCATGTCATTTTTCTCATACCTGCCTTTCCCCAGGCTTTATACAGAATTTCATGATGGGATAGATTCCCCAGTCTCTAATTAAAGGTGCAAATCTTCATTGATTTCCCCATCCAGAAAAAAAAATCACTGTACAAGTAAGCTTAAATTTTGTTAACTGCAGTGAGAGTAGCTTCGTTATCACAAGATCTAACCTGAGAATTATTCTGCACGCTGTCTACAGTTTTACTTCCTATATAATTGCTTCGTATTACAAAACTTAAATGTCACTATCAATAGAGCTGTTTGTACTCATCAGTACTGAAATACGACAAACCAACTTTAGAAAAAGTTATACAGCATTAGAGCTATGGAGAAATGGGCGCATAAGCTTGTGTCCTCCTGCTACAGTACAGCATTGCCAATGATTAGACATTACTTTTCTATTAAAATGAGGCTAGGTCAAATGGTTAAGCGAGGGAGTGAAAGATGGTGTACACTTTGATCACCTCTGATGGAACTTCCAAAGATGAGGGAGAACTAGCCACAAAAAACGAAGCCGTAATCTACTGTGATTATGTACATAGAACAGAAACTATTCTGATTCTTTACTGGCCTTGCTCCACATTCTGTCTCTTCAGGCTTCATTTCAAAATGTGAACCCCTTTCAAATTCCAATCACCCCATATCCCTTTGCCTGCAGACCTATACTAGGTCCTGCTTAAGCAAAGCCTCTTAAAATTCTCATCCTACTTTTCAATTCCCTTCATGGTCTTGCCTTTCCTGATCTCTCTTAACTGCCCTAATTTTCTTGCCATCTGAACATCTGATTGTAATTATTCCACCAGTGGTTGCTGTACTTTTTTTTTTATCTGCCTAGGTTGTGAGCTCTGCAAATTCCTCCTGAAATCTCTACTACTTCACTTTTATTTTAAAAAAAATTTTAGCTTCTATCTCTGTCATAATGTTTTGTTATCTGTGATAGTTCCTGTTTCAAGATGCTTGTGAAGTGCCTAAGGAGGTTTTATTACATCCAAAAAATGTGTTTCAACAACCTGTTTTAAAATGCAATCAAGAAGTAAGATGTTTAAAACTGTTTACAACAGATTTTGTTCAGCCTCAATATTCCAAATATTTTTCTTCTTACCATAGGTTTCTACTCTCATCGAGAAACTGTAAATGGTTCCTGGTACATCCAGGACTTCTGCACGTTGCTTGAGAACCAGGGCTCACAACTTGAGTTCACTGAGTTTCTGACATTGGTGAACAGGAAGGTGTCACAACGAAGTGTGGAAAGATGTGCTGATCGTAATGCGTTAGGAAAGAAGCAAGTCCCTTGCTTTGCATCAATGCTAACAAAGAAATTATATTTTAAACCCAAAACTGCATAACAGTTTGGCTTACTTTGGTGTAGCCTTCCCTCCATCTCCCTTCGTAAAGAAAGTAAATTCCCAATTTTGAGCTGTTAGAACTATTCTTGCAAAATTGGTTCTGTACACAATAGGAGTATTAGATGTACATTTCCAACACAGTAAATCTCATTTAAGGTCAATATATTTTGACCTCAAATACTATGGTCAGTCATGCAATCCAAAAAAACCTAAATTATTCATAAAAAGGGCTAACCAAAGATTAAGTTCTTTATCCTTCTGTCCAATCATGTTAGTTAAAATGTCCAATTTTGTTTTAAAGAACAAAACCAATCTCACTTTTTAGCAGTTTACAAAATTCTATAACTGACTATATTTCTTGACTAAAGAAAAACAGTCTTCTGTACTTCTGAATTACTGGGGTGAAGGGCAACTTGTTTTTTAAAAAAAAAAATTGCTTTTTATATACTGACATAGCTGTCATGACAGCTATGTTAATGTACATCTTTGAATGCAACTGATGACTTAACTTTTAAATTTTAAGGTGTTTTATTATGTCTGGTGTATTCCATTATTTCCTTCCTCCTAGCATATAGCACCAGCTCTTTCATGTCACTGGGAAAGTAGGTAATCATGATGTGAACCTACTAGTAACATATGTTCTCCAGAAAATCATTTGTACAGGTTACTTGGTGCTGAACCTCAGGTTAACTTTTTCTTCTCACTGTTTCTTGAGGCTTAAGAACATTTGTAGTGAATATTAGTGCCTTGTGGCAACTTTAAACTGGAAGGTTTTCAGGGACATTTTTATTTCGTTCAATCATGTTGTATAAACTAAGAAAATGACCAACAGTTTTGAGTATAGCTGTGAACTCTTTGTATGTATTTTCACTGTTTTATGTTGATTACATAAATGTTCTAATTTTAAATTGTTCAACTTTTTTTGTTGAATAATCTTAATTACCGTATTCATATCCTTCAGTAAAAGCAACAGATTGGTTGAGTGTATTTAAATTTCAGTTGTGGAAGATTAAAATCAACAAATTGAACATCACCAGAATACATTGTATCTGTCATCTTCTCTTACATTCCTCCACTAACGTTTCTTCTCCTCCCCCCCCCCCCCCCCAAAAAAAAAGAACCTGACATGACTTTTGGAGATGATTTCTTGCTGATCTGCCAACTGTTGACCTCTATCTCTAGAGCCCTGACTTCAAGATTTTAGGAAACTAAAATTTAGAGTGATGAGAGCAGAAGGGGTTGTAAACCAAAAAGGCCAGCAAGATTAAAGAGCCATCTGGTCACAGGGAGCCAAAATGGGTCTGTAGTAAGCAAAGTTTTGAGTAGAAGGGTACTATGGTTCGTCAAAAAAAGTCAATTGAAAGCATCTGGTTTACAAATAAGAATTTAATTTCAGCTTAAGCAAGAGATAGTTATCCTGATAAGTTTGACAGAACTTCACTATAAAGTTGCACCTCTTAAGAACTAAAGTTTTGAGTTTACTGTATTTAACCCTGTTACTGTCCCCATAAATATTTGTGACTCAAACACTGAACAAGCCATGTTATGTAAACCAATACTAGAATGTTTGTGGTTGCTGTTGGCTTGTTTTATAAATTTATTTTTAAGAGCTGGATAATCTATTATCTAGTCTCATCAAGCAAATCAAAGATGTAAATCTAAACTAGTTCTTTGCACTAATTTGAAAGCTTGCTGCTATGAGCCTAAATCTTTGCCAAGCTGCAACAGAGCTAACTTTATTTTTTATGATTTAAATGTGTTGATTAACTTTTGGGAAAGTACCACTCAAATTGTGTAATGTTAAGTATGACTGCTTTTCTCATACTTAAGTTTTTTTTATTTAATCTTCCAAATATAGACAGATAAAACACGAGGATGTTAATGATCTAATTACAATTACATTTGCAAATGTATGAGTGAAATACACACTGACACTAATGAAATCAATTTTTTTTCAGACAAGGGGGCTGTGAGGATCAATAGATACAAGTTAATGGGGATAACGAAGAAGAGAAATGCAATTTTGATCAAAGTCTGCAAAGCAAGCAAACAAAAACCAAGATGCCATTAAAATAGCCATCATTTGGTTTATTTATAAGCATGCAGCAAGTAATGTGGAACCAAACCAAAAGAAGCACCTTAAGCTCAGTGCTGCAGCTTTGAATGTCAGTGTTCCCTCACCTGCCACTGGGTTAGTTGTATTGAAAAATAGAGCCATTCTGTATTTGAAGTACATAAGCAAAAATGATCAGTGAATTTTTCATTTATATTACAAAATCCCAATTAACAAAATACACCATTGAGAGATATGGTTACAGCTAGGACCCTTCATGCTGTGTACTCTAGTGAAATACAAGATGCACGGTCAACACCTGCTGACAATGGGAGAGAATAACAATATTCCAAAGACTAAGCATAACAGCTTGACTTTTATACAGTAAATATTAGGAAACAGTACATTCCTGTGTAGTGCAATGTTAATAAAAACTGTAAAGCAGATCAGTCACTTTTTCAGGCCATTTCATTCTACTGATACATTTTCTGAACTGTACTAAACATAGATTATTGTGGTGTACTCAGTTTCACTGTCAAACAATAATTCTGCATTATGAGCTACAGATGACATACTTAGTGATAATGTCTGATGTGTTGAGAATTTTTTCAAGAAAACCTGCTAAGGTCCATCACCTCAACTCTATCATTATTGACCACGCAACCAACCTACATGGTGTTGGTCACTTAGAATGCCAAACTAGTTTACTTGGCTAGGCAAACATGTTTGTGAGGCAGTAATGGAACATGTCAACAGCTCATGTTTTAACATGGAGTGACCATGCCTTTATATTTATGTGAAAATTCATCCTTTGGATGTTGGTTGAATCAAAGGAAAATAACCAACTAAAAATAAAGTAGCTTCAAATTGGAAGCTAAGTTAAGGAGTGAGATTGGAGACATGAGAAAGTTCACAATCCATGTGTCCCACAGGTAGCTTGAGGGTGGAAAATAAGATACTGATAAGTACCATTAACCTGCTATCTACTGAGAAAACAAAGCTGAAAAAACCCCCCAGCAAACTAAGTTCCTTTTTGGAAGCTTGGCAATGAGGTCTGAAGCTATTGAATAAATCAAGAGGGGCAAGTGCAAGTAAATAACACCACAGGTTGATTTTGAAACCAATTCTTTCAGGCCCAACAGGGAGAAAATTATTTCTGGTAAACTTCAAAACTTGTAGCAGATTTGGCAAGGAAAAAAATCGTGATTGAGGAGTGCAAGTTTAAATACTATGCATTATGTTAGAACAAATAATACTGCCTTTAAATACCATCTTTAGTACCAGTTCTGAAAATACAATATCAAGGTGACAGTATGGAAAAAGTAAGAGAAAATCTAGAAGTGAACTTTCTTCATTAATTTTGTATTTCACCAACGATGTTTTCAGCTGTTTTTAAATTGAAAACAAAACGGTGAGACAGGAGTCTGTCTTTCAAGTTCTACCCCGAGTGAGTCTTTTGGCTCTATTCAAAGGTAATTCATGACCAATCATGTTCAGTAATGTTTCCCACAGTAAAATGATACAAGTGAGCAGCCTAAGCCTGATGGATTGTCCAAATCCCATTGGTACAAAAACTAGGTGCGTAGAGGAAAAGCAAACATTAAGTGCTCGTGCTGTTTCCCAGATTTCAACAAGAATGAACATATGACAACTCTAACATGCACCCCACTTCACCAGACAGAACACACATGCAAGCACTCAAGATACATTTTCTGTAAATTGCTTCACCCAAAATAAAAATTACTCTTCCTGCTACAAAAAAAAAACTGCTAAACCCTTCACCAATTAGTCATGTTGTGCACAAGTTAGTATTTCAATCAGTCTATTCCTAATTTTACAATAGTCTTGGCCTTCCCTTTAGAAGAAATGCATTTTTGTAAGTAAGATTCCAGCATTAAAGCTGCAGGTTGTGACAATTTGCTACAACTAAATTATCTTTCCATCTACCTAATGCAGTTGCAAGTTTCAAGTATTACGTATTGAATCATATGAATATGAATGTTCCTGTGTAAGATAATTGTCGGCTTCATAACAGTAGTGGAATCAGGAACAAGATGATGGATGGTAGAGATGGTATGGGAACGTGGTCTGTATCAACAGCGGAGTTTAAACTAGATTGATTCATAGGCACTTCAATCTCAGAATGCCACGAAACTGCAAAAAGGGTATTTTACAAAAATAAATTCCATTTTAAACAGAACAGAAACATCGGTGAACATGTGCTTGTAGGCATTCTGATCCGATTGAAATGTTGTATTGGTTAAGTCATTGTGAAGCATGACTTTCGAGTTTATTCCCATCAGCCACAGTTTTAGTTTTTGCTGTTTAGTGGCTTGATTGGAAGATGCAAATGCAAAGGGTCACGCAGACGCTGGAGGTTCTTTTCCACCTTTGAAAGGAAAAAGAAACGTCAACAGATCAACAAACCTCAGCAACTAGCATTAATATTATAGTTTTAACATACAATGCTATGAATTGTATTCTAAACAGGTAAGAATGAAATGGTGAGCTAAAATAGAGGTCAGGAGGGGTAACCAAAAGCTTAGTAAGCATGGTGGGTTTTAAGGAAAATTTTAAAATGGGATTTGAATGGTGACTAGGCGAGCTACAGATCACTGCCAGTTCCCTCTAAGCTGTGTGTGTGCTCAGCCACTCCAATGGTTCCACACAGTGATTGGTGTCTGCATGTCAAACACGGCACTGACTTCCAGTTCTAGAAGTAGCTGTTGTGCACTGACGTCAGAGACTCATGTGGGGAGACAGAAAATTAGAGGGAACGCTAATCATTGGTACCTGATGTAGTCTGTAACTGGTTTGGAATGACAAATCGGTCAGCTCTGAGAATTTATTAATTTTCCCTCTGCAATGCATCTCCTACCAGGTTTGAAATGTTTTCACCATTGACTGTAGATTCGGCCTTTGATAACCTTGTGGCAAGGTTATCAATCTCCTGTAAATACCTACAGGGCCTACTTGATCTGGTGTGGTGAAGGAAAACTACTTGCTAGTCTAGCATGACTGAAGCTTTTGTTGTAGTTTGGAGATGTTGTTTATTGCATGTTAGCAAACAAAGTGTAAGCTGCACTGATACAATAGATATGGTTACAGAGACTATAAAGTAGTCCTGGTTGGTAGGTCTTACTCCTTTGAGATGTTCTCCCACTAGGTCCATATGAAATTATCATAGTAGGTGATGCTGAGGTATTCCTCAGGCCCTCATACTCTTATACAACACTGATCATGAAATTCACACACAGTTGATTTCTTTGAACTTGGTGCTAACTCACCTCAGCCATCTCCTCCTTGATTTTGTTGTATTTCTGTACATCAAAGCTGTTCCTTTTGGCTCCTCGATGAAAGTAGTGCAGGAACTGTCTGTCTTTTATATCAGGATAAACGCAATCCTAAAGGAATGAGACACTATTTAATAAACTAGATACAACACTGACACCAATTAACATCCCTTTACTGACAGAGCAGTACCTGCCATCTCATTATCACACTTGAACACTTCTTTAAGATGATATAAATCCCCGAGTTACAGACCCTGGACTGTTTCTGGTAGGTATTGGTCACTTGCGTTACAAGTTAAAATGTTTGCTGAAAATTCTGAGCTGATGCAATATTCCCTGTGAGGAGCCATGCTTAAAAGGCATGATCCTCCAGTCATTACATTTGGTGAAAAGAAAATCTCTATGACCTTCCATCTCCATTAGGGCCCAGAATCAGCCCAATGCGTATTAATTAAGGAAGTAGAAGACTACTGTTGGTATAAGAAATGCACGTACAGCTCACCCACCTTGCTCAGTCATTTAGCATTGTGTTTAGGCATCAGAGTCTGACCACCCTTTTCTTACTTGAAAGAAATAATCCTTGCCTTCGGACCTCCTATCCCACTTACTCATTAGATGCCAGAATTCAGCCTATCAGGGATGGTGACACAGCAATAAGCAGCTGGGAGGGAGTTGCCCTCTACAACATTGATTCCCGACCCCACAAAGTCACATGACATCAGGTCAATCATAAGTACAGAAACCTCCATCACCAAGTGTACCTTGTTGGTGGCAAAAACATACTTTGACCTCATTCTGACCAATCTACCTGTCACAGGAGTGACCACCACCACCACCATCTACATGGGACAGATTGCAAACAGACCTGACACCTAAAAACTGGGTGTCCACGAGTTGCTGTGCGCCATCAGGAACAGCAAATTGTACTCAACCACAATCTGTCATGGGTCAGCATATTCCCTCACCTTCCCAATACCATCTAACCAGGGAATCAACCCTGATTCAATGAAGACTGCAGGAGGGCATGCCAGGAACAGCACCAAGTAAACCTAAAAATGAGGTGTCAACCTGGTGAAGTTGCAGCGTAGGGCTATTTGGCATCCTCATGAGCAGAACCCAACCCGCGAAAGAGCTGAGCAATCCCACAAACTATGGATCGGATTTAAGCTCAGCACTCCTGTCGCATCCAATTGTGAATGGTAGTGGACAGTTAGACAGCTAACAAATATCCCCATCTTCGACGATGGGGGACCAAAGTTTATATGTTCAAAAACAAAGTTGAAGCATCTGTAGCCATCTTTAGCCAGATGTGCCAAGTGGATAATCTTGGCCTTTTCCTGAAGTCCCTGTTATGCCTGTCTTCAAGCAATTTGATTCACTCTATAAGTATCAAGAAACAGATGAAGCTACTAGTTAACACTAAAGCTGTGGGCCTTCCACTCTTCAGAAATAATACTGAAAACTCATGTTCCAGAACTTGCCCATCCCTAGCCCAACTGTTCCAGTTTAGTTACAACACTAGCACTTATCCTTTAATGTGGCAAGTTGTCCAGGCATGTACAGTTCTCAAAAAGTAGGACAAGCCCATTTCCTGCCTGATCAGTCTATTCTTGATCATCAGCAAAATGATGGAAGGGGTTCTTGACAGTACTGTTGAGTAATTCAGCAATAACCTGCTCATTGATCCTCTGGGTTCCCTCAGAGCTACTCAGCTCCTGACCTGATTATAGTGCTGGATAAAAGGTGAGGGAGAGTAATTGCCCTTGACATAAAGGCCACATTTGGCACAGTGTGGCATCAAGGACCTCCAGCAAAATTGCAGTCAACTGGGGGGAACCTGGCTCAAAGAAAAATGGTTGTGTTTGTTGGAGGGCAGTCATCTCAGCTCTGCAGGACTTCCTCAGGTACTTTCCTAGGCCCAACTATATGTAGCTGCTTCATCACAACCTTCCTTCCATCAAAAGGTCAGAAGTGGGGACGTAGAGCTCTTTGAGCTAGAAGGGCTGGGCCCATGTTCCATCTGCACTAGAAGTGTGCCATAACACATCTGAAAAGGTCGATTGAAAGTGTACAGAAGTGGGGATGTTCACTGATGATTGCAAAAAATTCAGTACTACTGGCAACTCCTCAGATACTGCAGAGGTCTGTGTCCACATGCATCAAGACCTGGATAATAGTCAGACTTTGGTTGAAAAGTGGCAAGTACCAAACCACACAAATAACCAGATAGTGACCATCTCGAACAACAGAAAATCTAATCGTCTCTTTATGGTCAATGGTATTACCATTACTGGATCCACAATGTCATCATTCTACTCCGGAAGCTCAGAGGAACAGTCAGATCTTGAGGTGTTAGTCCACAAATCCCTGAAGGTGGCAGGGCAGGTGAATAGGATAATTAGAAGACATATGGGGCTACAAGGAAATCATGGATGTACAAGAACCATCAGTTATCATATTGAGAGAATTTATTCCAAATTTATGAATTCTTGAAATGTCTTCTGGAGAACTTCCTTGATCATTGTGCTTTCAGCCTGACTAGAAAGGAGTCATTGATGGATCTGGTGCTGGGAATGAAGTGAACCAAGTGTCAGTAGGAGCAAGAAAAACTGTAAGGTTTAGATTTCTGGTGAAGAGCAAGGAACAATCTAAAGCAGAACTTCTGGATTTGAAAAGAGCAAACTTAAATAGGATTAGAAGGAATTTATCCAAAATAAAATGAAAGTAAAGACTTGAGGCAGAAAACAGTAACAGAACAATAGTGATCTAGAAGGAAGACAGATTTCAGGATCAGGCTAATACATTTCAACACGAGCAAACGGCGGGAGAACCAAAGTTAAAGCTCCTTTGATAATAGTAAAATAGAAAATGTAAGGAAACAAAAGGAGCTATATGATTAATGGCTGTGTTTGCTGACTCCCTGGAGCATTGATATAGTGCAAAATCTCAGAATTAAACTGTAACAAAGACTGTTAAAACCCTAAAAATGTAAAATAAAAAGAAAGAAAAATTAAGGAAGAGAAAAAAAGTAGATTTTTATTTAAGTTTTGAAATCAGCTTTACACATATGTACCTGTGCAGCCTGTGAAGAAAGGGAGGTGAACATGTACAGACAGAATTTATCATTATACCATTGGTGTTAGCAGACACTTTGATAGTTTATACTGGGGATCTTTTAAACAAGAACCAGACCAAACACAATAAGTGAGAAGGGAAGTGAAGATGAAAGCGAAATGGTGAAAGAGAGTTTATAAGAATAGAATGGCAATTAATTTAAAAGGGAATTCAAAAGTTTTCCAGTATCATGTAAAGCAAGTGGTAAGAGATAGCGTGCAGTTCGTGTAGAACAAGGTAAGTGATATATTCTTAGAGGTGCAGTGCAAGGCTAGAATACTTGATGAATACTTTGCATTGGAATATCTTACAAGATAAGAAGATGCCAAAAATTGAAAGGAAAGATTACCAGAAAGGCTGGCTGTGCTTAGAGCTGATAAGCCTTCATGTACAGACAGCTTACATCTCAAATTGCTAAGGGAAGTTGGGGTGGAGATAGTGGGTAATGTTCCCTGTAGCCTTTCTTGCTGCTGTGTAGATTACCAAGGTTCACGTATGGCATGGATATCCAAAGGCGGCACACTCATTAACGATGCACAGAGTATCCCAGCAGCTGTGCAGTTTAGAGGAAATGTTGGCAGCGAAAGGGCTTGGAGGAGTTGCCCTCCTTTGAGCAAAGCAGGTTCAATGGTCATTTGACAGAACTGTGCAAGATTGCCACAGGTTTAGTCAATCCAGGAAAAGACAAGACGTTGGATGATGATGCAAGGACTAGCGGCCGCAGATTTAAGATTTTGTGAAAGAAATGCTAAGGGGTGCAAGGATAAACCTTTTACAGAGTGAGTGTTAATAATCTGAATTCTTTTCCTACGTCTGTGCAAATCGGCAGTAAATAAAGTAACAGGGTTATTGGATCAGAGCCGAGTGAGGACTTGGACTGACCGATTGACACAGCCATTAGGGGCTTGATGTGTTGAATGGCTTCTTTCTATTCTGCACTAACCCTACATCACATCCCTTGGCACAACAACTGAATCATTAAGTATTGATGTCCCCCCAGTATAACTGACACCAGAAGACTGAATTATGATCCTGTTTCCCCACCTGATTGAAATAGGATTTATTTCCTCAAATTTGCTTCATTGGTAAAGACTGAAAACAACTGTGTTGTTTATCTTTAAATAATTTCCATCAGGTCTACCACTGCATATTTCACAATTCATACCAGATTTATGCATAAAAAACGAGGGAAAGGGCCAGTTCTTGAGATGGTGAACCCTATTGAAAGAAAAGTTCAGCACAGGAACTGGCTGTTCCGATTATTATAACATTCTAAACTAATCCCATCTCCCTGCGTATGGTCCCTATCCCTCTATTCCCTGCCTGTTTATGTGTTTGTCTACATGCCTCTTAAACAATACTACTGTATCTGCTTTTACCACCTCCCCTGGCAGTGCGTTCTAGGCACCTACCATCCTCTACATAAAATATTTGCCTTGCGTATCTCCTTTAAACTTATCACCTCTCACTTTAAACCTATGTCTCTTGGTATTGGACATTTCTACCCTGGGAAAAAGACTCTGACTAACCACCCCATCCATGCCTCACATAATTGTACATACTTCTATCAGGTCATAACTCAGTCTCCAACACTCTAGTGAAAATAATCCAAGTTTGTCCAACCTCTGTCGTAGCTAAAACACTCCAACCCAGGCAATATCCTGGTAAATCTCCAAAGCCTCCACCCATCCTTCCTACAGTATGGCGATCAGAACTACACACAAAACTCCAAATATGGTCCAATTAAAGTCTAATACAGTTATGACATGCCTTGCCAACCTTTATACTCAATGCACTGACCAATGAAGGCAAGCATGCCATATGCCTTCTTTACCTGATTCACTTGTGTTACCACTTTCAGAGAGTAATGGACCGCAAGATTCCTCTGTATTTCAATGCTTCTAGGGGTCCAGCCACTTACTGTATACTTTCCTCTTGCATTTGACCTCCCAAAATGCATCACCTCACATTTGGCCAGATTAAACTTCATTTGCCATTTCTCCGTCCAACTTTCCCACTGATCTCTATCCTGCTGTATCCTTTGACAACTTTCCTTACAATTGGCAACGCCACCAATTTTCATGTCATCTGCAAATTTATTATTTAGACCATGTACATTTTCATTCAAATCATTTATATATATGACAAACAACACTGATCCAGCACTGATCCTTGCAGAACACCACTAATCACAGCCTTCCAGTCAGGAAAACACACCACTCCTCAACTATCCTTTGTCTTTTACGACCAAGCCAATTTTGTATCCAACTTACCACCTCACCACAGATCATGTGTGACTTATTCTTCTGGATCAGCCTACCATGAGACACCTTGTGAAATGCTTTAGTAAAATCTATGGAGACAATATCTACTGCTCTACCCTCAATCATCTTCATCACTTCCTCAAAAAACTCAATCACATTTATGAAGCAGAACCTGTCCCACACAAAGCCATGTTGACTATCCCTAATAAGCCTGTTCTTTTCCAAATGCGAGTAAATCCTGGTTCTAAAAATCTTCTCCAATAATTTCCTTTCCGCTGATGTAAGGCTCACGGGCCTATAATTTCCTGGATTATCTCTGTTGCAATTCTTAGACAAAGGAACAACATTGGCTATTCTCCAGTTTACTGGGACCTCACCAGTGGCTAAGGAAGATACAAAGATATATGTCAAGGCCCTAGCAGTCTTCTCCCTTGCATTCCTCAGTATCCTGGGATAGATCCCATCAGGTCCTAAGGACTTATCTACCTTCATGTTTTTCAAGACTCCCAATACCACCTCCTTCTTAATATTGACATGCTCTGGAATATCAAGATACACCTTTCTAATCTCGCCAACATTCACGTCCTTCTCCTTGGTGAATATGGATTGTTGTTGTGAATTTATAACCAGTACTGAAATATAAGGAAATAAGAGATATAGCTTTATTAAGAATGAAGTGATCCATTTTGGTAGGAAGAATAAATGGAAACAACGATAAATAATAGTACAGGTCGAAAGGTGATGCAGGAGCAAAGGCACCTGTGTAGATGGTCCAGATGATCTGATAGGAAGATGACTGTTGCAGTAGATAGTCAGAAGTTACTTGTGAGGTCCATGTGAAAATCCCAAGGCAGCTGATTGGTGAGAATTTCCCAGGAAGTTGAAGTTCTGATAGTTAATTATCTGGTGCCTGGAATCTCCAACTACCTACCCAACACTGAGAAAAGAGTCGGAGACTTTGGATAATTCTGACTTGCTTAGCTTAATTGTTACCTGGGAAAGGTTAAAGGCATTAGAATCTGCCCTAGCCCCCAAGTAACTATTAAACTGACACCCTAATTTCATCACTGACCATCTCTTCATCAGCCATCCTGGACCCTTGACTATGTGAAAACAGCCAGCCCTGACTACCCCATGGCTCACCACTCAACCACACACATATCCTTCCTCCCACTGAACCGTTCTAAGCAATTCTACCCTCCCGCCCACCAACTCGCATCCCAGCAACCTAATTCCCTCTACACAACACGATCACCCCCACCTCCAACTCGACCTGCCCCCACTCTGACGGCACTCTTATGACTCTTACCTGACCCTGATGTACCCTAAGCCCTAACCCACCACCGTAAGTCCTCACCCAACTGCCGCTGCACCTACCTACCACCCTAGCCCTCCACCCATTATTTCACTCACCTATACTCATTCACTGGATCATTAAACAATATTTAACGTTATGGAAAATAAGCAAAGCTGTACTTAGAATTATTAAATACAGACATTAAATCTGTAGTAGCAACTAAAATATCAATACACTTTATAATAATATAATAAAGATAACATTAAATGTTTAAAGGAAATAGAAGGGATTATAAAGAGCTATTTAATACCTTAAAAAGGCCACATACATGTTTCATGAGATTTATCTTGCAGTGTACATCCCTGTGCTATTTGCTGTTGCCCTGAAGGGGGATTCCCTGCTCCTCTAGCATTATAATGGTGTGGGGGAAATCAAGGCTTCACCTCATTTATCTGCAAAGCCTAGACGGCAGCTTGTGACACAGGCCTCAGGGCATAAATAACACAGACAGGTATGTGGGTGATATTTCATACTATTACCATTGGACAAATCTGTTCTGATGGTAATTGGAAACTTGGGGCTGTGTACATGCGTATAAATCATTGATGGTGACAGTACACATTGACAGGATGTTTAATAAAGCAAACAGTTTCCTAGGCTTTATTAAAGGTTAAAGAGAAGGAAGTCATGCTAACCTTGTACAGAAACCAAAGAAGTTGAAAGGAGCTTTGATCGAGGTATTCAAAAATCAGAAGGCACTTGGACAGAGTAGATTGTGAGAAATGTTCTAGTGGTGAAAGGATTGAGAACCAAAAGGCACAAATTTCAAGTGATTTACAAAGAAGCGATGATGCCAGATGACGTTATCTGAAACGAAAGAAGGTGTAGGGCTTCATGGAGAAGCTGGGAAGAAGGCAGTGAGAAGCCCGGACTGTAGGAATGTTGCTGATATGGAGTATCAGCACATGACTGCTTAAATAGCCTCCTCCTGTACGGCAACAATTCTGACTTTTTTTCAGAACGTTTTGATATTAATATACATAGATATAGGAAAGTATGCACTTCTAATTCGATGATTACCTGGCGTGTGAGGAGGAAGTATGCATAAAAAGCCATGGAGCTCCCATATGTGATGAAGTAAGTGACTGGCTCCATTATATCCCAGGAGTAGACCCACCAAGTTAACCAAGCCAGTGCTCCAGCTTGAGTCGACATAAATGCCAAACCTGCCCACATCAGTCGATTAGATTTAGCTTCAGCCTTCAGAGTCAACTGCAACTTTATCTAGTGAGACAGAAATTTTAGTTACACATCGCTTCCCACAAATGGTCATCAGTGCAACCCAAAGCATAGTAGAAAATCAAAAAATCTGGCAACTGTTGACACTGCTCTGTGGAATAGTTTTTGAGAGAGATTAGTGGCTAACAAGGACCCTGCCGTTAACCCAAAACAACAACTGATCTGATAACACTCCAAATGCCTACAGACTGGCAGATGCCAACAATATGACAAGTTCCTGCCTTTCTCTGTTCCAGTCCTTTTCGCGAATGAGGAGACACACTGGGCTAAATACTACAGGAAGTGGGTGAGGCCAGTCTGATTGACTGGCAGATCTAACAGGCAGAGCAGCATTGCAATCTCACTGCTGGGACCACAACAATTCCTGGGATATAGAGGACATGGCCACTAGACCCAGTCAAGTCCCAGACTTGTCTTTGGACCAGGAAGGATCAATGAGCCTTATGAAGGGATGGCGTTGGATGTCAGGTGGGGAGGGACAAAGTTTTGCGGGAATATATTGGAGGGGTATCATCTCAGGCAGAGCCATGCTCCCAATGTTCACAGGCCACTCTTTCTTAAAAAAAAAACACATGCATGCCCTTCATTCCCAATTTTTCCTCAAAATTATTTTAAAAATGGCCTTCTCATTCCCTGCTGCCCATAGCAACTGAAATATCCAGTCAGCCGACTTGGTAACAAGGCCAGGTGCACATTCATTATTTTAAAATGGTGGGCAGTCTGCCAATTCTGGGGCTGACCAGCCTACTGTTGTATGAGGACCAGATCTGGTCAGATCTGGTGCTGGGCAGAAAAATGATGGGCTAGCTACCAGCAAAATGCTGTAAAATGCAGCAGAAAGTTTATTTGATCCACCTCATAAGTAAAATGATTATTGGTGGAATTTGAGCTCTAGGTCATCTGGTTTGGTTTAAGCTTACTTCTGAACTCCCCATTTTCATAGAATAACCATGTAATAGAGATGGATAGGATTAGATTGCATAGTTGCTCAATACTAATGCCATGCAATTCATTCTCATTTATAAGGAATATCCAATTGGTGTATCATCATAATCTTAATGTCAATTGTATTTATTTATAAACAGTTGCTGGAAATCAAGATGATTCAAGTAATTTGTTAATCCAAGATCGTTGAGTTTATACAACAATCTGTGAATCATTATTAAAACCATAAATTGGATTGCTAAATGGAAGATCTATATTAAAAAGGAAATCATGATGACCTATGTATGCGTTCATAAAATAAGGCAGGCTATCATCAGATCAGAAAGACGAGATGCAACATAATTTATCTCTTGCCACAGCTTAACCTAAAGTGGAGCACTCTCTTGAGATAATCCATTTGAATTAAAAACATATGACATTTCGTCAAGGCACTTACTGCCTTGTCGCAGAATTGTAGATGTATGCAAGTCAAACCGCATGGTAAGGTAACTAAAGGTCAACCAATAAATATCTCAAAACCTGGAATTAATCATATCGCAGCACATTCCATTGTGAAAAAAAACTCAGGTTGGATTATACATATTGGAATGAGAAATGTTGTTAGTATATGTACAAGTCTGTAGAGAATATTAGATTTTCAAGATGATTAAAAACAGTTTGTCACAAAGTATTCCAAATGATGGACCTGTTCAAGATTCTGTAGCTCTCCTTTTAAGTTTTCCAGTTTTTTCAGCAGCTCCCCCTCTTTGTGCAATTGGTGAGATTCCATATGCAGAGCTATATAAAGCTTATGAACCAAGTTCTTTACATCATCCATTTCTGTTGAATGCTCACTGCTTACAAAGTCTAAGGCATTGGAAAGAGAACAAAGAACATGGAATTAACACAGAAAACAAATCATAAGCTTTTCTAAACTGCATAGTTTAATGTAAAATTTCAAATTATTAATGTATATTAAAACATGCCAAAAAGCATGGCAAATCCAGGGATGTTGACTATGTACAGCAATTTTATTAATACTGATTAAGAGATAAATGCTGTCTATGACAGCTCTGCCTTTCCTTTAATAATAGGATATTTTACATCCATTTGAAAGGACACAGACATCGCCTTGGTTTAATGTCTCAATCAAAAGACCAACGATGCAATACTCAGTACCACATGATGCTTTCAGCCTGAATTATGTGATCATGTCTCTTGCTGATAGGGCTGACAGTGCTCTCACTGAGGCATGCTGGATATAACCTCCCTCTTGCAAAGGAAACCAGTGGTACTTCACATAATAGTGAGATCTAAAAATCAAGATGTAGAAACAGTTTGGGTGGAGATAGGGAATAGCAAATCTAAGAAGTTAGAGAGTGGGACCCTTAACAGCAACTGTACAGGATGGCGAGTGAAGCGGGAAGATATAATGGGGGTTTGTGGGAAAAGCACAGTGAGAATTGTGGGTAATTTTTATGTGTATTTAGACTTGTTGCATTAAAATCAACAAGAGGACCTTAGAAGATGAGTTCATAGACTGGTTTTTGGGACAGTTTCTTAAAACAACACATTCTAGAGCAGGCTATTCTAGACCTTGTGTGTACAATGAGGCAGGATAATTCAATGATGTTTTGTTAAAGGCCCCAGCTAGCAGTGACTACAACATGAAAGAGTTTCACTTTCAATTGAAGGAAGAAAAATGTGGGTCGAAGACAAGTGTTTTAAACTTACGTCAGGGTAATAATGAGGTGTGAGGACAGAGTCGGCTAAAGTGAGCTGGAAATTAAATTAAGTCAGTAGAGAAACAGTGAAAATCACTTTAGGAGATATCTCAACATCAACAAAGATGTATTCCACTGAGAAAGAAAGACTTAAAGAAAAGGATCCACTATTTGTGGCTAAGTTAAAGATAATATAAAATTGAAAAAAAAAGCATGTAATTCTGCAAAGAGTAGTGACAGCTCAGAAGTTCATAGAGAGTACAAAATCAAGCACCATAGTATTGTGCATTAAAGAATAGGAGTGATACAATGAGTGCTTTTCAAACAATTGAAATTAATTCAAAGCTTGAGATCACAATTTGCTCACAGGAGAGTGGGGTGCCAAACAGGGAAACAGGGGTGAAGTGTTGAATGGGAGAGCAGGACTCTGAGTGAAGCAGCAAGTGACGGTGCAGAACATCAGAGTGAAGTGGTGAGCGGGATATGGAATGGAGCTGCACGCGGAGTGAGAATGATGAGGGTATTTTGGACCTCAGTGGAACTACTCATGTGCATGTAGGTGGAGTCGGCACTGGCTTCCAGTTCCAGGCGTACAATGATGGCGTCAACTATTCTGACATCCTACGCCAGGACACAGCCAGATGCTACTCTGTTTGAAATTTAAAAAAAGAGAAAAATCAGGGAGTGACAGAAAACTAGCTGGCGATATTTAAACAGATAAATTCTTAGAACTAACGGCTGACAAGTCTGCAGGTGCTGATGGGACTTCATCCTAGGGTCTCAGGTTCTGCTGAGATAATAGATGTATTGGTTTTAAATTTACAAAATTCCCTGGATTTCAGAAAGGTGCCAACAGATTGGAAAGTAACTGATGTGATATTTCTATTCAAGGAAAGAGGGAGACCCAACACCTATCATTGGGAAAATGCAAGGATCTATTCTTAAGCAGGTTACAGTAGGGCACTTCAAAACTCCTAATGCTGTCAGACAGAGTCAACATGGTTTTATGACAGAGAAGTCTGAGGAGTTCTTTCAAAATCATTAGGAGTGTAACAATCAACAAACAGCAAACATAATGGGAATCCGTCAACATGGTATATTTGGATTCACAAAAAGTGTTTGACAAGTTACTACAGAAAATAAAAACTCATGGTGTGGGTGATAACTTATTTTTGTGGATAGATAGGTCAGCTAACAGGAAGCATTCAGCTGAGATAAAAATGTCATTTTCAGGTTTGCAAAATGTAACCTATGGAGTGTCTCAGGGATTATTGTGATTAATCAACGCCAATGAGTCCTGACCTCATTGCAGCCTTGGTTCAAACATGGACAAAAAGAGCTGAATTTCCAGAGGTGAGAGGAGAGTGAATGCCCTTGACATCAAGCTGCATTTGACCAAGTGTGGCATCAAGGAGCCCTAGCAGAACTGGAATCAATGGTATCAAGGGACGAATTCTGCGCTGGTTTGAGTCATACCTAACACATAGGAAGATGGTTGTTGTTGGAGGTCAGTTATCTCAGCTCCAGGACATGTCTGGAGTTCCTCAGGGTAGAATATTTCTAATCAACCTATACAGAGATGTTATTACATACCTCTGGAATAGGCAATACTCAAACCAGGTCTCCTGGTTCAGAGGTTGGGACACTCCCACTGCATCACTAGAGCCCAGTTCCACAGAATAGTGTCCTAGGACCAACTATCTTCAGCTTCTTCAAAGACCTTCCCTCTATCATAAGGTCAGAAGTGGAGATGTTCTCCAAATAATTGCACAATGTTCAGCACCATTTGTGACTCCTCAGATACAGTCAGATACTCCTCAGTCCATGTTCAAATGCAGCAAGAACTGGACAATATCCGGGCTAGAGCTGAAAAGTGGAAAATAACATTCATGCCACACAAGTGCCAGGCAATGACCATCTCCAACGAGAGAGAATTTATTCATTATCCACAATATTCCATGGGATTACCAACACTGAATTCTCTACTAAAACCATTCTGGAGCTTACCACTGGCCAGAAACTGAACAGAACTAGCCATGTAATTCTTGTGACAACAACAGCAGGTCAGAGGCTAGGAATACTGGAGTAAATAACTCACTTCCTGTCTTCCCAAAGCCTGTCCACCATCTAAAAGGCCCAAGTCAAGAGTATGACGGAATACTCCCCACTTGCCTGGATGGGTGCAGCCCCAACAACACTCAAGAAGCTTGACACCATCCAGGACTAAGCAGCCCGCTTGATTGGCACCACATCCCCATGCATCCATTCCCTCCACCACTGATGCTCAGTAGTGTGTACTATTTACAAGATGCACTGCAAAAATTCACCAAACATCTTTGGACAGCATCTTCCAAACCCAAGATCACTTCAATCTAGAAAGACAAGGGTAGCAGATACCTGGGAACGCCATCTGCAACGTCCCCTCCAAGCCACTCACCATCCTGAAATATGGAAATATATTGCGTCTCCTTCACTGTTGCTGGATTAAAATCCTGGAACTCCGTCCCTAACAGCATTGTGGTCTATCTACAGCATCTGGACTGCAGTTCAAGAAGGCAGATTGCCACCACCTTCTCCAGGTGAGTTAGTGATGGGCATTAAATGTTAGACTAGCCACTGACACCCACATCCAATAAATAAAAGAATACCCTCAACTATTTACAAACTCTATCAATGTCTCTGATAGAATGAAATGACTAAACATATGGTTGCTAAATGTGTTGATGGCATTAAAAAAAAGTAGATTGGCAAATGAATTCTGAAGAGCTCACAGCCTAGCTTTGCAGATTCCGCAAATGAATGGGCAAAATACTGGCAGATGGAGAAAATGTAAATTTGTCCACTTTGGCAAGAAGAATGGGAAAAGCAAACTTATTATTTAAATAGAGTGAGATCACAGAATTTTCAGGTACAGAGGTATCTGGGTTTCCTGGTACAAGGATGACAAAATATTAGATGCAAGTGAGTAAGGCAGCAAATTCGATATTGTTGTTTATTGCATGGGGAATAGAATCATAAAACAATGGAATTTTGATATTGTTGTACAGGGTATTGGTGTTACCACATTTGGAGCATTGTGTACAGTTTTGGTGGTCTTATTTAAGAAAGGATGTGATTGCATTAGAGACTTTGCAGAGAAATCACTCAACTGATTCCCATATTGAAGTAATTAACTAATGAAGAAACATTAGTCCAGTTGGGCCTGTATCCCTTGGAGTTTATAAGAATGACAGTGGAACTTATTGACAGAGTAGATGATGACAGGATGTTGCACCTTACACGAGATGTTAAAACTAGGGGCTGCAGTTTAAATATAAAGGGTCTCCTATTTTACATAGATATGAGGAGAATTATTTTCTTTCAGAAATGCAATAGTTTGTGGAATTCTCTTTTCCAGAGAGCATTGGAGGCAGGGTCACTGGAAAATTTTTAAGGCTGAGTTAGATATAAGTTAGACTGACAAGGGAGTCAGAAGGTTGGGGATAAACAGGAAAATGGAGCACAGAAATCAGATCTGTTATGAATTTATTGAATGATGGAAAAGTGTTGAGGGACCAAATGGCATGATCCTGCACCTAATTCATATGTTTTGTGCAGTAACTGCCAACAATTATGCATCTTTATGTTAAAGAGTTGAACTGTATTGATGAAGATTGAATGTTGTAGTATATGGTATTGTCACCACAAATCAGTTTCTCATACTGCTACTGCTGAAAGCACATATCAAAATAAACTTAAGCTTAAAGTCATTACTAACCTCTTATCTCAAAGACATAGGGCTAAATTTTACCAGAGAGCAGCTAAGTGTCAACTTTGGTGAGTTTCAAGGAGGGTTTCTCTGCATGAAGCTCCGTGGGTTTTCTTATATTATCCTCTTAAACACACTTTATTACACCACCACTCCATGTATTCTCCCACTTACCAAAGGCAGAAACACTCGGGATCCTTGGCACTAGCACGTCTTTGAAGCCCACCCAATCACTCAATAAAGCAGAGCTGCCCTTCACTGTGCCCGTAGTGGGAGGGCAACCAAAATACTTCTCAGTACACATGCATATTGATGCATCATTTGCTATTTAAGAACCAAGCTTACCCGTTCTCCACCTCATCCCATCTCCAGCACTCCCTAAGGGAATACTGTTCTTTCGCCAATGCTCAATGCTGCCCAACATCCTTATTGTTTAATGTGAGATCATCACGTACTGGACAGCCTTCCAGTGGTTCAAATCATTCATTTTTGTTCAGCAACAGCAAGTGACTTAAATAAAAAACACAGACAAAAGCTGTATTTGCTTCTGGGAACTGACAGAGATTGCTGGTCTTTCGAGCACAAACAAATTTCCAATCAAGTGACCACTGCCCCCAGCTCACATCTACTGGAACAAACTGTTGATGAAGCCCTGTCTGATTGTCATGTTTAACAATGCTCAATGTTCTCATCTTCCTCCTTGGAGGACTGCTGCTGCACTTGTAGCTCTTCAGAGTCCATCACATCCCCCTCACTGCCTGCAGGACACAATATTGCAGCACACTGTCCAGAGTAAACTGCAAGGCCCACCAAACAATGTAAACATCAGAATCTCACCTTTGACAGACCTACTGTCTGCTCTGTGGTGGCCCTGGTGGAAGAATGAATTGCATTGCCTCTACACTCAGCCTCAGTCGTGTAACAGAAGCATTTAGTAGGGATGCTTAAAAACAAGGGAGCTGTAGATAGTTGCTCCTCAGGCACTAAACGGAGGAACTCCGACAGTGGTGTCTTGGGCTCAGATGAGTGGGTTCCAATATTCCATCCTCCTTTGTGCTGGGTATGACTCCAATCAGTAGAGAATTATCCCCCAAGTTCGCATTGACTCAGTTTTGCTCCTTGATTCCCCACTTGGTCAAATGCAGCCTTGCTGTCAAGGGCAGTCACTCTTACCTCACCTCTGTAATTCAGCTCTTTTGTCTCTGTTTGGACCAAGGCTGTAATGAGATCAGGAGCTGAAATAGGGAGGGGTTAGGCAATGAAAGGGATTGAAACTAAAGGAGGGAATTTCATAATGAAATAATAGCTTCCACTTTAATTTGCAGCCTTTTCAAAAATATAAATTTCCAAAAAATAACTTTAAATCATGGCTTGCAACACATCTAGGCCAGAAATTGTGTTTTAAGAAAATTGGCATCAGGGATCTATGTTGGATAAAACATTTTTGAGATTCTGCCAACAACTTAGCCACATGGGAGTTTTAAACCATTCACGTGTGTGCACTACTTAAAGTTACACAATTAGAATATGTGGTAATAGCACATTTCTATCATGTAGCAACACTGATGTACCCAAACATAGCTTTGTTAAAGTAAATATATTTCCACACTTGCCATCAAATGTCACATGCAGAAAGCTACAGTTTATGATTTGAATAAAATAGCACAAGATAATGGGTGAAATGAAGATGATGCAGCAGCCAGCAAGGGAAAAATACAGGTGTGTGCACTGGTATGGTAAATTTACAATAAAAGAAATTCAAGCTCTTCTAAAGATACAGAGTGAACCAAATTATAATGGCATCCACTTTAAGATTGATCTGCTGTCAGTCACTAAAATAAATATGAGTAAAGGATCCTGTATTTTACACATATAAGCACTAGTTGTAAGAGTGAACGCAGTGTGAGTGGATCATGGAGATGAAATGACAATTCAGACCTGGGAAGTCTCCAAGAACAATGCACAGCCTTAGAACATTATTTATCGTTTAACTTGTACCATTCCACAATTGGCTTTGGATGATCCTTATACTTTGGGGAAAGGCTTGTATTTTCTTTTGTGTGATGTCCCTTAAAGTCCAAAAAGAGAAACTAGGGTGATTCTAATAATGTGTCCTTATACATCTGGGCAAGCACTTACATGATCTCAGATGCTATGCAATTAATATAAACGGTAAATAGACACATAAGTTCAATAGTGCAGATCTTGATACTGAATCAAATTTCTGATAACACCAACCCAGGTCCAAAAAGGTAGAAATACATAAAGTTCTGGCTCATTTATGACTGTAACTGGCATGTAATAAAATAGTGTGATATGATCTTATAATTAGAGCTGGGCCACTAACAAGTGAAATGAGAAAACTCTTTAATATAAACGATAGTGGAAATATAAAACTCTCCCATAAAAGGCTGTGGATATTGGATCAATTGAAAGTTTCAAGATTAAGATCAATAAAGTTTTGTCAGGTTAGGATATCAATGAATGTGGAGCAAAGATGCCTAACTACATTGAGGACAGGAGATAGCAAGAATTGCAGACGTGAAGTCAGGGTCAATACAGTGTGGAGCTGGAGGAACACAGCAGGTCAGGCAGCATCAGAGGAGCAGGGAAGCCGACATTTTGGGTTTATACCCTTCATCAGCCCTGCCGAGTATTTCGCCATTCCCCCAAGATCTCTCTCTCACTGAAGACAAAAGGTCAGTCCTCAACATAGGACTCACCTTTATTCCACTGTGCGCACACATCAATGAATTCTGTACTTACCTAGATGTTGAACTCTTTTTCTGCTGCCTCCACACCTATTTCTTTGACCGGGAGTCTAACCCACCATCTAACAACCCCTTCTCCCACCTCCAACAAACCTCATCCCTTTGGCACCACCCCACGGCCTCCTACCCTCCCCCGAACCCTTCATCTCCAACTGCCATTGCGACATCAATAGCCTGGGTCTCTCCACCCCTCTCACTCACTCCAACCTTTCCCCCAGGGAACATGCAGGCCTCTGCTCCAACCCCAACCTCACCATCAAACCTGCTGATTGGGGGGGGGGGGGGGGTCGCAGTGGTGGTATGGCGCACTGACCTTAACATCGCTGAGGCCATGCACCAACTCTCCGATACCTCCTCCTACTGTGCCCTCGATTATGATCTCACCTCTCACCACCAAACCATCAATCACCTCATTGCCTCAGGTGACCTCCCACCCACAGCCTCCAACCTCATTGTTCCCCAACACCGCACTGCCCGTTTCTATCTCCTTCTCAAAATCTACAAACCTGACTGTCCCAGTCGACCCACTGTGTCTGCCTGCTCCTGCCCCACTGAATTCATCTCTTCCTATCTCAACTTCATTTCTCCCCCACCCTCCCCAGTTAAGGAACTCCCCACCTACATTCGGGACACTACCCATGATCTTTACCTCCTCCAAAACTTTCAATTCCATGGCCTCCAGCACCTCATCTTCACTATGGACATCCAGTCTCTCTACACCTGCATCCCCATGCAGACGGCCTAAAAGTCCTCCGCTTCTTCCTCTCCTGCAGGTCCAACCAGGCCCCTTCCACCGATACCCTCATCCGCTTAACAGAACTTATCCTTACCCTGAACAACTTCTCCTTTAACTCCTCCCACTTCCTACAAACTAAGGGGGTGGCAATGGGTGCCCATATGAATCCCAGCTATGCCTGCTTCTTCGTAGGATACATAGAACAGTCCCTCTTCTGCTGTTACACTGGCAATACCCCTGCTCTCTTCCTCTGCTACATCGATGACTGTATAGGTGCTGCTTCATGCTCCCATGAGGAGGTTGAATAGTTCATCAACTTTACTAACACCCCAGTCTCAAATTCATCTGGACCATCTCCGATAACTCCTTCCCCTTCCTGGACATCTCCATCTCCATCTCTGGTGACCGCCTCAACACCAACATCTATTCAAACCCACTGATTCCCACAGCTACCTAGACTATACCTCCACTCACCCACCCTCCTGGAAGAATGCAATCCCTTGCTTCCAATTCCTCTGCCTCCGCCACGTCTGCTCCCAAGATGGAGCATTCCACTCCCGGACATCCCAGATGTCCTCCTAGTTAATGGACCGTAACATCCCCCCTCCGGTGGTTGAAAATGCCCTCAACCGCATCTCTTGCATTTCCTGCACTTCTGCCCTCAAACCCCCACGCCCCGACAAAAGTAAGGACAGAATCCCCCTGGGTCCCCACTAACCTCCGCATCCAGCGTATTATCCTCTGCCACTTTTGCCACAATCAAGGAAATACTTCCCTCCCCACCCTTATCTGCCAAAGAGTCCTGATGAAGGGTGTAAACCCAAAACGTCGACTCTCCTGCTCCTCTGATGCTGCCTGACCTGCTGCGTTCCTCCAGCTCCACACTGTGTTGACTTCATTGAATACAGGTGAATGCTCTTCAGAACATCTGGGAACAGCTATGAACATTGTGCCTGACATCCTACCAACCTTATTTATAGTTAGGTTCAGAACATTTCAGTTTATTATGGAGTGAATTAACAGTCACATAACTATGATCAAACTTTTTAAATAACAACATCTGAGAAACTTCCAGAACACACGCTGGCTTGCTTTTTAAGATTGTTGTAAAGAGGTTTATGTTCATCAAGATTTTCAAACATCGTGAAAAGGAAATGAGTACCTTGTCCAAGGCACAGTCAAGAAATCTTTCTTACCTCTAGATGGGGGCTTTATAAAATACTTTGTTTCATTAATAACCAGTTCAAAGTTCTTTCTTAATAAAAAGGTCATCGGTGTTGTGGCTGAAACTCTAGTGCCATCTGCAGGCAAACAAAGGTTAGTTGTAAAGAAAGAGTTTGTAAATCATAACAAAAGCTGGTCATCTTTTGCTTTTCCCCACCTCTTTATTCCCAGGGATCTGCTACTGGCAAAGTCAGATGCTGAAGGAATGTCACCAAGAACAGGAGATATGACTGCAGTGCATGAGCAACATTGACTGTCCTGCTGAAGTATAGTTTTCCCTGACTATATTGAGACCTAATGAAGGCATTTCAAACTTCAACAGGCAAGTACCATAGTCACCTTGGTGGCATTCTGTCATACTATTTACATAAAATAAGCCAAGATATACTCCTTTCTACAGCTAACTATTAACCCAAATTCATTATGAATGAGGAACAGAACGTAATGCACGTTTTGAAGCTTATTACCTGGTTCACAAATGATGTAACGTGGTGGCTATTTCCCACATTAGAGCAAACCAAAGCATACCACCATATTATACTTTCAATGAGCGTGGACACGTAACAGGATTTATAATTTATACAAATATTATTGAGTGCATGTGTATATCTTTAGATCACTAGGTAATAAGGTGTGACATTTATCTTAGAGATTACAGTATTAAAAATGTTCAATTATCTCATCCTGCAGATGGAAAAATTCGATAAAGGTTAAGTTGCAGTCCCAAAACATGACTCATCTCTTGAAACTAATGCTAATCCTGTGTTCCGAGTACCAGATGATTTAATTCTGTGATTAATAGCTGTGACGCTAAATCAATGAATATAACAGCAAACAATTAGCATTAGTTATTGTGAATTTCCTGTGCTTTTAATTAAATGGTTCTGCATTCATCTCCCACCACCAAATTCCACTCTTCAATTGAGCGGCAAATTGCTAAGTTCACATTTCCAAGCCTCCCTGTACAGTTTAAGGTATGTGCGTGTCAAGATAGTAGTTAAATCCAATTCCACAGGTCCAATTATGGCCGGACCTATAAAGACTGATGGCATAGAGCCCTGTCCAGGGAGCATACACCAAACACTAACATATTATTTTTTGCAATGCCTGTCCACCCCAAAATGAAGCGTGTTTTAGTCTAATTGCTGAAAGCTGAAGCAGAAAAAGATACTCTATTGGTGCAGTGTAGTGGATGCTTTCAAACGCACTGAATAACAATCACCTTCTGAAAAGATTATGGCCCTGCTGATGCCTTGATCCTCACTTTTCAAGTCCTGAAGAAGATCACCAACATTCATCGAAAGTGGCTTCACCAGAAACTGGCAACGCTCGTTTCTGGAGGGAAGTGTGACCGAGATTACTGGAAATCCGTGCTTGTATTCAACAGCTGCCTCTAGAAGAGGACGGAAAAGTTCGATCATTAGTATTACTTCAACTGCCATTAAACGGACAAAGAAACAGACTTTTTAAGTGCACCATACCGTGCCGTCAACTTTTTAAAATCGAACAGTTTTGTAAACCCCGAGTTTATTCATCAGTATTTTATGAGAAGCTTCAGGACCTTTTCGACTCTCACTGGAAAGAGGGATGATCAGAATTATTTAATCAGATTAATTGGATGGTGGGATCTGATGGATTTTAAAAGCATTTAACCAATTGTTGTGATGATGCTATGTTAAACAGCAGCTTCCTGTACCAGAAGGCCTAAAGTAAGGCCATTCTCAACTGGTCATCTATTTTCAGGCTCGATCAACTTCTTTTGTATCTTTCTTCAAAACTGGATCACTTAACCTTGCCAGTGAAACTTACCCTGGAAGAGGATAGGTTATGTCAGTATAAATTGGCACAGTCCAATTACTAATCCATGCCTGATTTAAAACAAAACACATCTTAAATAGGACTGAAAAGGAATAAAGGGTTTGGTGAGGTTGACAACTTGCTGGCTGAGTTGGCTTGTTCTCGTTCAGACGTGCTCGTTTCCTGCTAGTTGATGTTCGGCATGATGAACTCTCCTTAATATCAGTACATTCAGACAATGAAGGCCATCAGTTTAACTGGGGCAAAGTAACCATAGTAGCCCAAACCAAACAAAGACACACACGGGAATTCCTAGAGACATGGTTCTCCACCCATAATGCAATCAACAAACACACAGAATTGCACCCCATACTCAAATCCATACTGATCAAAACCGGAAATTACACTACTCACCATGACGGACCGGACAGCATAAATTCCAAGCAGAGTAGAATAACATCGCTTCACCGGAGGCTCCACTGATGATGTCACCTAACATGGTGACGAAATGTCTGAACAAGAACAAGCCAGCTCGGCGAGCAAGTCAACAATCTCATCCACAACCCGAGCTACAGATCTTTGCCAAAATGTTAAAGGGCTTGGTGGCAGAAAATCCTACGGCCCGTGGGGAAATGAGGACACTTTCCACAGGCAAGGTTGCTTATATAAGCAAACATCCATTATTTTAAATATTTACCAAACAATTCTGAAAGTTTTTACTTTGAGCTTGAAGAATTCATTGTGACATTTTGCTCTTGTACATACAGTCATACAGCATGGAAACAGACCTTTCGGTCCAACTCGTCCACGCCAACCAGAAATCCCAATCTGACCTAGTCCCATATGCCAGAATTTGGCCCATATTCCCCTAAACCCTTCCTATTTATATCCCCACCCAGATGCCTTTTAAATGTTGTAATTGAACCAGCTTCCACCACCTCTTCCAGCAGCTTGTTCCATACAAGGATCACCCTCTGTGTGAAAAAGTTGCCCCTTTTGTCCTTTTTAAATATCTTTCCTCCTCACCTTAAACCTTTACTCTCCAATTTTGGACTCCCCACCCAAGGGAAGAGATCTTGTCTATTCCCCCAACCATGCCCCTCATGATTTTACAAACCTCTTTAAGGTCACCCCTCAGCCTCTGGTGTTCCAGGGAAAAAAAGCCCCAGTCTATTCAGCCTCTCTCTATACCTCGAACTCTACAACACCAGCAACATCCTTGTAAATCTTTTCCATATCTTTTCAAGTTTAACAACATCCTTCCTATAGGAGGACAACCAGAATTTGATGCAGTATTCTAAAAGCAATCATGGAATCATGCAGCAATTGCAGAATAGAAGATAATTTGATCCTACCTGCTTTATGTGGCTTCCTACAAAAGACAACTCAGTTAGTCTTATTTTACAGCAGCTCTACAAATATTTTCTTCTTCAGATAACTACCCAACTCCATTTTAAAAAGTAATACACCTGGTATTAAATCGAATATTAACTTAAGAGATTCTTCAAAACTGCTCAAAGGCAAGATAGTGAAGTTGGGAACTTTGTGTTGATCGCTAAAGGATATTAGCGAACCAGATTACTTAAGACTCTTAATTCCAGGTTTTTATTGAATTCAATTTCCACATACTGCCATCGTGGGATTCGAATCACAGGTCCCCAGTACATTACTTGGGTCTCTAGATTAATAGTCTAATGATAATACTATGAGGCCATTGCCTCCATGTAAATTCTGGAAGATTCTATCTCTGCCACATTCAAGGTGGGGGTAGATTTTTCTTTCAATGGTTGCCTCGATGATTGAATGTTTGAGGGCACTTTGGGAGCTGTACTTTGAATCCTGATGTACGTATTGATAGTCTCAACTTGAATGGTCCAGGTTACACAGAGTCAAAACACCATGTGAGACTTGACATTTACAGTTCAGTGTGGAATTAACTTCTCTCAGTCAGTGTTAACATGTTGTCTATCTCACAGGAAGCAGTCTGAGGTTAAATCATTTTGGAGCAATGTAATATCATAGCCTGTACATGATTAAAAACAGGATAGGTCTTCTATGTTTTACATTTTTCCAAAGCGTCATTTGCTTTAAATTGTTTGCCCGAGCAACTTTTGATTGGGTTACACCACAATGGTGTAGCTACATCCAGTCCTTTAGTAGGAATTGTACCATTGGGCTAAACACCTTCAAACTTTTTAAAGTTTTCTTACATTTTCATTCTTTCATGTAATTCTATATCAGTTAATTCAGGTGAAGTCAGACCAAAATAATAAATACTCAACTGAAATAACTATGTTTAGGTTGCTACTCGAAGATCGATTGAGACAACACTGGACGCACTCTACTCAATTCACAGACTTCACAAGTGAAATGCCAGAATGCTGCGGCAGTGGTGGAATCCAGGCCCCCAACCTGGCATCTTTTACAGATCTATAACCCTGCCTTCCCACCCATCAGTACCAGGCTGGATTCCATGATGGTTTAAAGATAAGCAGGGGCTGATAATCAGACAGACATATGATAAAACATTCCCTGTCCAGGGAGGGCTGAATTCATTTTCTCAGATTGGAGCAGTGTACAAATTGCAGAAGGGGCTGTCACTAATCTTACATGAGGTATCATGAATGGCAACGTTGTTTCAGGATGCTGGTGGGATGCATGATAGGGAACTGAATTAGGTCAATGACTCTGTTGTGATTCGCAATTTATCTAGAGCTTTATTAATAATGTTTGTAATTTTTGGGTCAATTTCAGATTTGCATACAAAAACATATAACTCAGAAAGAATTACTGAACAAATTCCAGTATTATTTATTATTTGAATAGTTTAGTTCAAATGAAACAGGAGGAATGGAAATACAGAGTATTTCTCAAATGGTGGAAGACTGGCAGCTGTCAATGTCCAATGTTCATCTTTATTGCAAGAAAATTTGCATACAGGAACAAAGAACTGCTTCAATTATACAACATGTAGATGAGATTGTATCTGGAATATTGTGTGCAGTTCCCTAGAAGGATTAAATTTGCCACAGATGGAAAGCAGTAGCAATTCACCAAACTGATTCCTGGGTGGTGGGATTGTCCTACCGGGAGAGACTGAGGAGAGTGTACCTGTATTCTCTGGAGTTTAGAAGAATGAGAGGTAATCTCAAAGAAACTTCCAAAAATCTTGAAGGGCTAGACACAGTAGATGCAGAAAGAGAGTTTCCATTGGCTGTAGAGTCTAGAACCACAAGACAGAGTCCCACAATAAGTAGTAATCCATTTGGGAATGAGATGAGGAGGAACCTCTTCACTCAGAGGGTGATGACTCTCTAGAATTCACTCTCCCAGAGAGCTGCAGAATCTCAGTCATTAAGTAAGTTCAAGACAGAGACTGATAAATTTCTAGTTACTGATAACATCAAGGAATGTGGAAATGGCATGGGAATATGGCATTGAAGTAGGTGTTCAGCCATGATCTAGAACGGTGGAGCAGACTTGAGGGGCTGAATGTTCTATTCCTGCTCCTAGGTTTCAATGAAATTGGAATTGATAATGCATAAAGCTGTTCAACCACAGAACTTAAAATGCTAATCGAATCTAGTTCCAATGGGTGAGATAAAAGAGATAGACCCATGACACAGCTTTAAGTACAGGAAACATTTTATTCACTGACACCCTCAGGACCAGGAGCATGCAGGTTAATCAAATATTCCAGGTAATCAAGTGGTCTACATAATCAATGTAAAACACACATACTAAATAACAGAAATGTATTGCAGGGGTTATACATATCACTATTACACTTTATTTATAACTCACATCACTTAAATAATAATGTAGCTTTGCCTTAAATAAAACTTACCAGCACCCTCAACTGACTACTCAGACATCACGGAGACTGCAATAATACAGTAAAGTTTCTGGTATTCCAGTTCTATCATTTTTGCCAGATTATTGAGACTGCCAGTTAAAACCAAGTTTGCTGAACTTTGAATCATCATTGATCTACTTAAGGCAACCTTTGGTTCAATTTCCCCTTTTCTGAGTTACTTTCATGCCCTCCTGTCTTAACTCTTCATAGAGATTCCAATTCTTCAGGTGGGCCAAAAGCACCCATTCATCCTTTTTCACTCATTTTCCTACATTGCTTTCCAAATCCCATTCTCAGGAAAACTGCTTCTGCTCCATAAGTCTTGTTTTGTTTGCAGTAGAACCGTTTTGGGTGTGAAGTTTGCGCTGTGCAAGTGGCCAGGTGAGAAAACATTGTTTGAGGAGGAGGAGGAGTCAGTGACTGGCTTGGGGCCTACAACATCCATCTACATTGCTTGTACTTCCTGGAGTGATAAAGTGAGCATAAACCTTCCAGTTTAAATTTAACTGCCTGGCACAAGTGTAGTTACAGTAAAACATTTACTTGTACTGAATATTTTAAAAGTTCCTTTTGCAACTAAACTGAAATGCAAGAATAAACAAACTAGAATATACAGGTAATTAAAATGTCGTGAACAAGTACGGAAAATAATCAAATGGCTGAAAGAATACTGGCCTTTATATTTATAGAAGTAGAACATAGGAAGATGGAAGTCAAGCTTCAGCATTCCTGTACAGTTGTTTTTCCCTTTGGGAGATAGTGGGCAAGTGTTGAGACAATTAGAAGGTGGATTATTCATCTCTTTGAACTGATTCATGAATCCCCCTTCTGTGAGCAGCCAGTCTTGGAGTGGGACCTGAACCCAGAGTTTCTGGTTCAAAAGCAGAGACGCGATGCACTGCACCACAAAACCTGCACCATAAACTGAAGGAAGTGCAATTTAGGTTTACCCAAATATCTGGACTCAAAATGTCATACAGAAATTGGGGTGGTATTATCGTGCAGTTTAGAAGCTCAAGTGGAGATATGATCAAAATTGTCAAGATATTAAAAGGGAAAAAAAGAGAACAAGAGAAAGTACTTTCACCATTTATGGAGTACAGAATACAAAGGCAGACTTAAAATGATCTTTCAGAAGCAAAACTTAAAAAAAAACACTTCTAGAACTTTCATTCACAAATGATCATTGATGTTTAATCAATTGTCAATTCTAAATCAGAGACTGAGTGATTGTCCAAAGTCATCAAAGGTTCTGTACAAATGGAAATTAGCCATGATCGCTTTGAATGGCAAGTAGAACAGGAGGCAGGACTACACTGAATTAATCGTACTCCTGTGTTCCAAGTCTTGCATTCATAAAGTATCTCATCTTAAAACACCTTACATCCAGCAAGTCACTTCTAAATACAGCCAGTTTTGTCATGTAGGGACCATGACAGACAATTTCCAGTCAGCAAGTTTCAAACCCCAAGCTGACAGTGGCCAGGTAATCTCTGTTAGTAATGTTAATTTAAGCATAAATATTTGCCTGAACACCAGGGATAACTCACCTCTTCTTCTTCTTATAAACCATGCCATAGGATCTTTCATGTACACAGGAAAGGCAGGTGGCTCTTTTGTTTAATCTCTCATTCAAATGATAGAACCTCTGACAGTGCAACACTCCCTCAGTATTGCACTGGAGTTGCAACCGGTTATGCTTAAATCCTGAAGTATGATTTAAATCCATTAGCTATAACTCAGGGATGGGAGTACTACCACAATTGACACTACTGAAAACAATATAGTTAAACATTTAGAGGTCACTTACTTTGCACCATCACATGTTAATCATTAGCAAAATACAGCTCATTAAAATGATCAAAATATTACAACATAGACTTACCATCAGATGGTACCACGGTGCTGTAAAAGGTCATTCCACATGGTCTTAAATCGAAAAGTTGTTCAGGTCCACTTTTCTATGGAACATAATAGATACCTTGTATGAGTAACTTTTTAACTTATTCAAAATGAGAACATAAACTTTCAGCTGCTAGATTCAAAGTGGACATTTCATACTTTATGACGGCAAACTAAGTATAGGTGTTTGTCTGGGTCAGGATTGTTGGTCTTACGCAGAAATAAAAAGCAATGGGGCCAACAATGTGAAAATAACAACTAGCTAGAGAAATCCTTTAGGATTTCTCAAGACAACATTGTTGTCAACTTGCTCTTCCTATACTGGCCGTTGGCAACCTTTGTTCTAACCTGAAGGGCCTTTTAAGAAAAAAAATTGTCCAAAAAGAAAAAAATATGGAGAACAGCAAGACAAAAATGTATTTTTTTCTAAAACAGACACTTGGCAAATTGCGAAGTGTTTCTGCTAGAATGTATATTCTGTAGGAAACAAAAAAGTCAAAATTAAAATACACTAAACTGAATATTTTGTTTTACATTACTTAAAATTATAATCTGTCACAAGAGTATCTTAAAAGCAAACTTTGACACAAGGCGCATATATTTTTTTGACAATGGATTTGTATGATTAAAAGAGACATCTAATAGCACAGAGCAATACATCTCAGGCATATTAGAAACAATAATGGCTACAACTGTAAAACCTTGAATCAAAGGCATTATCTATAACCATTGCACAGATTCCATTACAGAAAGCTTATAAAAAAACCCATCATTGTGCTTGACAAAGTGATTTGAAATTCTCAAGTGTCTAAAACTGTGAAGTGCAGCAGAGCATTTAGCCTTTCATTCCCACAATAAAAACAAGGCTCTTAGCCTTTCTGAACTTATTTTTTTGAAAAAGAATGATTTTCCGAATTAATCCAATCCAACCAGAAAACGTTGGGAGCCGCAGTCAGAATTTTAAAGAAATGTTTGAGGTACTGAAGCTGCAAATTGCAGACTGCTATTCTTACACCTTCAGCTGGGGATGAAGGCTGAAGCAAAAATAAAATATATTTAGAAACAAGCGGCACAACCACAGAGAATTCATGTACTCAGAGTACTCGATGAACTAAGAATTTGTAAAAGCTCATATGTGGTCACTTTTTAAATTTATGAGTGTTTAAATTTTAAAAAGAAAAAATAACGAGCAGCAAAGCTTTATATTTTAAACAAGTTTTGAAGGATCAGTTTATTATGCAACTATTGTTGACTGATATTCAATTAGAAAGATGTAAAGTTATAGCTAAAATACCTACACACACATTTAAATTCAATGAAGATAAATGGTACGCGTGAAGATGAAAATGAGCTCAGTCTCAGAGATGATTGCAGGCCTGGTTTGCTTGAAGATTCTCTTTCTGAAGTGGAAAGGGGTTGAGCTTTGCAGTCAGATTCAGTAGCTGCACTGGCTTCTGTAGTTGAATAGTTGAAGGTTGCTCCCACAGGTTGACTCAAAGCAGAACAGGTCCTGGGGAGGGAGGGAGTGGGTGAGTAACAGCTTTCTTTGATGGTATTGCAGGCTCTTGGGGGGTCAGATAGCTCAGTTGGCTGGGCGGCTGGTTTGAGATGCAGTATGTTGCCCACAGTGCAGGTTCAATTCCCTTATCAGCTGAGATTGCCATGGAAGTCCCTACCTTCTCAACCTCACCCCTCAGCTGAGGTGTAGTGAACTTCAGGTTAAACTCACCTCCAGTGGTGTCTCACTAATGAGAGAGCAGCCCAATAGTCCCCTTAGTCAGTGGCAACTGGCACTGACACTTCACTGCAGGACATGGCTCTTGGTAGCTGGCTTTTTCTTCCAGATGCCTTCCTCGGTCTCTGCTGTCAGCAGTTAGTCACTCATGATGGTGTTGTAGCTGTACTGGAACAGCTTGGCTAGGGGAGCAGTGTACTGAAGCACAGGATTTCAGTACCAATGCCGGAATATAGTCAGGCCTAATCTAAAGGCAGAGCAAGCGAGAGCCTCTTATTTACAGACAAAGGAAGAACACCCATCAGCTGTTGAAAAACAAAAAACAGCAAATTTGTAACTTAGCAATCAGCTCAGAAAGTACTCTGTGATAACAGACACTGTCGACAATATAGACAACTCATGCCTCACACCCAAGTTAAAACTACAGTGATAAAGGATATTTTCTAACCAATCTGTTCAGTGATGTTATTCCACACTTCTGAAGTAGATGGGACTTGAACCCAGGCCTCCTAGCTCAGATGTACAGATACTACCACTATGCCACAAGTGTCTTTGGGTACTACAATGATTAACACTTATTTCAGACAATCACTTTCAAGTGATAGATGCTGCTGCCAGTCAAACATATTTTTTCCGTTTTCTACTGTTCAGCCAATTTCCTGGAGTTTGAGTTTAACTGGGTACAACTATTTGATTGAAGATAACAAGGTGTGGAGCTGAATGAACACAGCAGGCCAAGCAGCATCAGAGGAGCAGGAAGGCTGACGTTTCGGGCCTAGACCCTTCTTCAGAAATGGCTGAGGTGCTCAGAAATTGCTACAAAGTTTAATTGATATACATGATGTGGATTCAAAAATCCAGTGCAAAATGGTCAAATTTGCAGAGGTTACCAAATTAGAAGAGGCTGTTCAGAAAGGACAGAAGATGGAAGGGTTTTATTCATAAGCAGGTAGATCAACGATAGCTAAAGCTTAAAGCAGACTGATGTAAAACGCTTTGCACTGGAGAAAAAAATAAAATTCAGTATAATGGCATTTAAATGTCACAAAGCAAAAATTGCTTTCAATTCTGGTTGCCACATTACAGGAAGGATGTGGAGGCTTTGGAGAGGGTGCAGAAGAAGTTTACCAGGATGCTGCCTGGATTAGAGGGGATGAGCTTTAAGGAGGGGCTAGAAAAGGCTAGGCTGTTTTCTCTGGAGCAGCAGAGGCTGTGGGGAACCTTAATAGAAGTCTATAAAATTACGAGGTGCATGGATAAAGTCAATGGTCAGAATCTTTTTCCTAGAGTTGAAATGTCTAATACTAGGGGATATGCATTTAAGGTGAGAGGGTTAGTTCAGAGGAAATGTGAGGGGCAAGTTTTTTATACAATGAGTGGTAGGAGTGTGGAATGCACTGTCAAGGGGTGGTGGTGGAGGCAGATATAATAGGGGCATTTAAGGGACTTTTAGATCAGCACATGTATATACAAGGAACGGAGGGATGTGGACCAATGGCAGGCAAAAGGGATTAGTTCTGTTTGGCACAACTTCATGGGCCAAAGGTCCTGTTCCTGTGCTTACTGTTTTATGTTTTATATAAATAACCAAGAACTGAGCTAAATGAGTCCTGGTTTATTTGACAAGCAACACGTTTGACTAATGTGGACCGGCAAACAATAGGCCTGTAGAATACGACTAAGAGAAAATGGTCAAACTATATCATACACTGGTCACCACCATACCTGGAGTACTAGTCATCAGGCCACCAGGACAGTGCTGGAGTGCTGCAGCTATTTCACCAAAATGTCACAGGCTAAATCCTTAGGACAAAAGCCTGAACAATGAGGGAATACAGGAGGAACTCCAGCTTTTTATCCCAGAAATGAGATATTACATTCTGAGATATTATCTTCTAGAGATAAACAAAGTAGTTAATATTCCAAATTTACAATTTTCCATTCCTTTGCTGGTAACACAGGCAGAACACAGTTCAAATTAGTAAAAGGTGAATTTAAAATAAATAAATTATTCCTCATACAGAGATTCACACATAGAATATGCACACAAGAGTAGTGCAATAGATATTCAGTTTTTGGAACAGTTGAAGGGGATAGTCTCTCCAAGGAAAATGGAAGTGCCAGTCAGTTATTGGACACCTGGAACGATTCTTATGTTAGGCAGTGTTTGACAAGATTTAGTAGAATTATTGTTATAGGAGACAGGGGCATAGACAGGCGATTCTGTGGCAGTGAGCATAAATTTAGCATAGTTTGTTGCAGTTTTCAGGAACTTTGCTTTTGTTCATAATGCGTTGCTTTCCTGCTGCTAGCATTAAGGATGTTTCTAAACACTTCAAGCATACTGTTAAAAGGTGTGATTGAGAAGCCAGAAATTATTGTACACATTGGTAGGAATGACATTTTTAGGGAAAAGATTAAAGCAGTTCTGAGTGAATTTAAGAGGTTAGGTACAAGATTAAAAAATAAAACTTAAAAGTAGTCATTTCTGGTTTACTCCCAACGACAAATGCAAACAAGGGAAGGAACAAAAGGTTAAAGGAGTTATATCAATGCTGAAGAGCCGTTGTATTGTTCAGGGATTCAGATTTTTGGATGATTGGAATGTCTTTTGGGATAGAAAAGACCTGTTCAAAAAGGATGGGTCTAACCTAAACTGGAAAAGGAATCAAAGGGAGATTTACTCATTATATTATACAGATAGAGAAGGAGAGTGGAGGAATTCTAAGTAGCAGTGTAAACTGAAGGATTGATGGGGAAGGTTCTGAATGTGAGGAGAGCACAATTAGAAAAGAAAGACAAGAGACAGTCAGAATATGTGGTAACTCTGAAGAACTAATTTGCACTTATTTCAACGCAAGGGGTCTTACAGGTAAGGCTGATAAACTCAGGGCATGTTTAAGAACATGAGATTGGGACGTCATAGCTATTACAGAAACTTGGCCGAGAGATAGACAAGACTGGTAGCTCAATGTTCCAGGTTTTAGATGCTCTAGGAAGGATAGGAAAGGAAGCAAGAAAGGGGGGGGGGGGGGGGGGGGGCGTTTTTGATTAAGGAATATATTACTGCTGTAACTAAGGAAGACATTTCTGAAAAATCATCCAGTGAAAATAGATGGGTAGAAATTACAAATAAGAAAGGAAAGATCACTTTGATGGAATTTTACTTTAGGCCTTCCAATAGTAAGAAAAATTGAGAAACAAAATATAGGGAGATCTCAAATATATGTAAGAATAATAAAGTTGTAATAATGGAGGATGTTAGTTTTGCAAACATTGACCGGTACAACCACAGTGTTAAAGGTTTGGATGGTGAAGAATTTG